GCATATTTTATTATTATCCACACCTTTTTATGTGTCAAGATCTTTAATGAAAATATTATGCAGTTGACAAAGACAGTCTTAGAAGCAAACCCTTTTAGAAACCCATCACAAGCCTCACTTCTCATTTCAACACAATCCACTGTCATCTGTTGTTTTTCCAGATTGTCTGTTATGAGGTAAGATATCAGGTACATAAATATGAGAAAGGATAAGACCTCTCATGTTTCTGTGAAACAGGAAAATGATCAAATATGAGTTACTCAGCACAATCTGCTCTTGGTGAGTTATTTAACTCCATGGTACTAACGATTCTGTTCTGCCGAGCCCCTTTTGAGCCTGCCGTTCTTATGCCCAAATGATATCAGATGACTGGCAATGGTTCAGAAAATTTCCTTTGTCATCTTTTATATAGAAGTGTTACATTTGCTGTCTTTCATGTCACGGTTACTCTCACAGGTTTTTCTCAGAATAGCTGTAATTAAAATTCTGTGCTGATGGACGGTGAGTTTGTGCACCAGGTCTTTCAGAGTCCGTGTTTGCAACCTCATCTCTTGAGCTCGTGACACCCTGACTTTTACTGCCACTTTGGATGGAAGTGCTTCCACTTCCGTTTTTCAGATTATTGTCCCCATCTTGATCTCACCATTTTTACTGTCCAACTCATTATGCTGCAGCTGGACAGTGGCCAGGAAAAGTCACTTATATTTTAATTTATTGATGCGTAATATGAGTGGCATACGGAAGGCTGCTTCTGCTAGCCTCTCCTTGTGTGCGCAATGGAGCAATCGCAGGGCAAACAAATCGATTGTAACAACATGGCTGTGTAAGCCAGTCAAGCCATAACCTTACTCGGTTTCTGACATGTCCACTGTGACTGTCCACGAATTTTAATCGTCAGACAGCAGTGAGTGAAACAAATGCGTGCATCCCTTCATAGGAAGTTGTTACTCATTTATGGTGCTTACGTAAAGTGATAATAGAAATGAGCCCAGTAATTGTAACATGGACTTTCTGGTGCCTGTATGCTCACATTCAAAGAGGGACTTGCAGAACATGCAGAAAAGCAAATGAAACAAGTTCTTTCAGGATTAAAAAAAAAAAAAAAAAATCTCTAATTTTGAAATAATTTAGCCAGAACGAGTTAAATTGTTAGATGCTCTTTGACTGCAGAGAAATGATAGCTCTCACAGCTGGTTATTCAGACTAACCTGAACAGAAGTGAACAGTGACCTGCAAAACCTATAATGTACTTTGCATTCCCTGCTACACCCTAGGGCACATAGCACTCCAGGGTCAAAGACCTCACTAGAAACTCTGAAGTAACCTGGCATTTTTAATCATGCAATCAGCCTGGGGAGGAGAGCTGCCTGCTACCAAATCTTTTCCTCAACCACATGGCCTTTTAAAAATGAATGCTCGCAATTTCCCTAATCATTATGCTCATGGATGATCACTTTGTCTCTTTTTAATGTGAGGATATTGCCAACTCTTTTCATCATGGCTGAGGTCTCTTGGGACAATCTCCAGCCAATGATCCTTTTCAACTTGCCTACTCCTTCTATCAATGGTAAGATCAAAGCTATCCACTTGAAAGAAAATCTTTAGGATTTAATTGGTGTTTCCCTCTTCCTCATATGCCGACGTTCTGGCAAAAGTTAAAACTAAAACCCACGTGCGCTCACCCACGTAGGCATTCAACACCAGCTACACACAGGTCATTGGCTCCATCACAATGTCCCAAATGGTTCATCAGAAAAAAATTTCACTACAGATGAGCTGTCACTCACAACCACCAAGTAAACAACTTGCTTATACCCATTTGTAAAATATAGCAAAGGGAGTACGCTGATTCCGTAGCTATTAACAGACTCCCACTCATCGTAGCCAAGCTTCCGTCATTCAGGTCTTGGCACTCCAGCAGTATGGCCACACTGGTGTAAATCAGCAGTGGGAGAATCACTGCACTTCTGTGAAAAACTTACACAAATGTACCTGTGCCTTAAAGCTTCAGCACGCTCTTGGCTACCCAGCATGTTCCAGCTTTTGTGGAGCAATGCAGTAATCACCCTCCAGAAAAATGTTATGTGTTGAATCCTAGAGGGATCAGCACATCTGCTCCTCTTCCGTGCAAGAGGGAAAAGGTCCTTCAATCCACCTTACAGAAGGCTGCAGTTCTCAAATACTGTAGGAAGAGGAAGCTAGAAAGGCAGCAGTCAAAACTGCTGTTTCCCTTCCTGAAAAGTACCACCTAAGAATTAAACCTATGGAACAGGGTGCAGGTCATTCTAGTCTGGCAAAACCAGCAGAGTGATCCGAAACTCCTACTGAAGGTGACTCTTGGAGAAAGTGCGCATCGTGAGAGCCGCCTTTTTTATAAAATGTCTGAAAATAGCAACAGCTGGTTTTTATAGACATATAAAAGTCCATTTTCACCATATTTTACTACATTTTAAAATAAGCAACAACTCATGTCTTGCTAGGAGAAAAAATTACATTATGTAATGAATACTGGTTTTAAAAAAAAATACTTTCAAAGCATTGATTCTGCTGCAATCATTATGGTAAAGGCCTATCAATGAACTGGCATTATGCCATTAACCAGGGGAGTCAGAGATATTTATTACCTTTAGCTAGGAAATGATTTGCAAGGAAAAAGCGAAAGTGCCTGTTTGCTATTCCATCATGATGATGTAGTTTGCAATAATTGTAATAATAGGCCAAATTTTGCCTGCGCTTTCTCCTGAGCGTCCATAGTAAGTCATTCAGTCAGAAAATCTGGGAGGTGCAATTTGGCTGCATATGGTACTAATGTAACATTAAAGAGGTTAACATTTCCTACTTTCAGCTTTTACTCTTCTTCTTTTTTTTTTTTTTTTTTTTTTTTTAAGCTATTTTTTCCCGGTAGTAGAAAATAAAGTAGTTAAGAAAGCTAGATTATGCAGAAGAATTTGTCAGCTGTATAAGGTGGTGCACATACTCCGTGAAACACACGGCTCCATTCATTGCAAGAGATGTTATTTATGTACAAACAGATGCAAGACCAGGGTGTAAGGCTGGGCGATGGGGGCGCATTGTGTTACTCACGAGGGCTGGTATTTTCAAGAACGCCTAATGATGAATACGACTCATTTGAAAGAAGCTTTGGGGACTCGCTGGTATGAAGGAGCAGCTATGCTTCTGGCAAAACATTAAACACTCTTATATTCTATTGACTTGGGGAACTGGGAAGTTTCAGCAAATGCAGGATCGGGCCATTAAACAAACGGGTTTCACAGCCCTCGCCAGCAACTGACAGAGCCCATGAGCTGCCCGCGCTGTTTGGACGGATGTAAGCGAGACCATGCCGTTTCACCGAACTACTCTTCAAATACCGATTAGTTATAAGAACAATGAACATCCTAGAATGAGGTCAATGAAAGAAAATGTATGATTTTGCTTGCCCAATATTATTGGAAGAACAGTGCTGTGTTAAACCATTTCTAAAGCAGAGCATGCAAGGGATTATTTGCTGTCATGAAGGGTTTGAGGGTCTGAGCTTTAGTTTGTGCATACATTGCTATAGACTGAGACAATGAAAAAAAAGCCCCAGTTTGTCAGCGCTACGAAAGCCTGGGTAATCCTGCAAGTTAAATAAACCATATGTTTAGAAATTAGTGTTGGAAGAAAGTCTGTGTTCCAGAGAGCCTGCAAACATTTTTGCTATTTGGACTTCTACCTAATATGGTGAAAAAAATAACAGGGATGAATGTCAGGCACGGTTTGTATGACAAGATTTACAGGGCCAGCCTCATGTTACCTTTCAGAGAGGCAACAAATAGTCCTTGCTGATCTGCAGTTAATCTTACACGACTGGCTCAGAAACCTACCAACACTAATAATAGACCGTGTGTGCTGCCGTCAGTAGGTTCATGCTGAAAGGCACGGTGGAGCACAACTCACTGTTAAAGAAAGCACAAAATAACTTTCATGTTGGACAGACTGCATCTTTTGGTTCATTAACTGACGCCTACCAGCAGCCACTGAGGAGGTGGCACAACGACAGCACTACAAGAAATTAGGTTTGCGGTTACCTGATAGATTACGACACGGAATTTGTTTTTCTTGAGCATCTCCTCTTGTTTCGCTTCCACCTTCCGCACGCTGGCGCTCTGCCTCTCCACACGTGCCCGCACCTCCTTCACGGTGGAGCTGACTTTGCGGGTTTTCTCCAGTAACTTGTTCACCGTGTAGCCTGTATTGCCGTGAGCCTGGGCAAGCTTTAAAATGTCGATCTGGATGGTCTTGATGGCATTTTCCATCTCCCTGTGCCTCTCCTCTATCCTTTTCTGGCTCGCCTGCACGCTGTCCACAATGTTGGCCACTTTGTCCAGGACTGTCACAATTGTGTAAGCGGCATCTTGTTCTTCTTCCTCCTCGGTGACGCTGGAGAGACGGTTTTGGTGGGTTTTGTCAGCCTCCGGGGTGATTTCGCGGTGATCCATTTTGCCTTCCTTCGGCCGGGTCGGCGGGAGGAGGCGAAGTTTCGGTGATCCTGCCAGAAGGATTCTGGCGCTGCTGCAGGGAGCCAGGGCGACAGCTGGCTCCGGCGATGCTCAAAGTGGGGCGTGAAACGCCGCGCCTGGAGCTTGGTCAAATACCTCTGACTACAAAATATCCACACATGATTGTTCGGATACTTTCAGCAACATGAAACCCCTAAAATTAGGAAGCAATGTCTGGAAAGGAACATACGTTTAAAGGGTCACGCTTCTGTACTGATGAAGTTATTAGTGTTAATCCAGGAAAGTTAAGTAACTTACTAATTAAGCAGGAAAGCAAACTTGCATATTTTTAACGATCTACTTTTGTTTTTGTGTTACTGGAGTGCTTTCCTCCGAGGGAATTCAAAGAGCAGTCAGGAAAATGAACACGGTTGTTTTTTCCAGCAAAACAACTGCAGGTCTTCAGCTTGTTCCAATTACCACATGGGGTAACAAATAAACACACTAAACCAGAGGCAATATAGTGAAAACGTTGTATTGTGACATGCTTTTCCAGTTCAAAATGTTGAAAGCATTTTTTTTTTTTTATTGAACAAATTATTAAATCCTACATGCAAAATTTTGAAAGCCTAAACTACATGTTAAAACAGCTGAACACATCCTATTCACACTTTATCTTGGGATCTCTCAAACGACAACTAACAGTCTATTAATATAACTATGACCAGCAGACTAATTTGGATGGACTTCTTTAGCTCTTGAAAATACTCTATACAAGAGCACTAGTAATTCATTCACTTTTATTATTATTTTTTTTATTTTAATCACAAACACTATACAATCCATATTGTAGGTGTTAAAACATGTATTTTCTTTAAAAAAGTTTAAGAAGTATTAAAACAGCTTTAACAGTGATAAAGTAGGCTTTATTCCAATTATTTGTGTTCAATTATTCAACACCAATTTTTACAATACCTAAATCTACTAAGACCTACTTCTTTTGGACCTGTGCCATCTGCTCTACCAGGTAACTTCCCAAATTATGAAATTTATAATTGTTCTCTTTAAAAATAAATTGTTGGAATTATTTATGAAGATGGCAGTGCTTAGACCCAGCCCACACGTTTTATAAATATGTTACAACTACACACAGCACACAGCTTCACAGTTCATGCGATAGGCAGTGTCTAAAAAATCAGTTACTAACTTCCAAAAACATTTAAATATCTACGGTATTTAAACACAGTGTTTTCTAGTTTCTCATAAGAAAAGTAAGCTGTAAACATTTTTACCTTTAGTTCATGCCTTGTTCGCTAGGTAATGTGGACTTTTTTGTTGGTTTGTTGTTGGTTTTTTTTTTTTGAAATCTACAACCATTGGTGGAATAAATCTGTGTTCCCAAAAATATTACATTCCATGAATAAAGCACAAGTCTATTATATAACCATGTGATACAGATACAGAAAATTAACTACTGTATTCAAAAACATAAAAGTAAAGTTACTAAAACAGTCCATAGCTGTTAGAGCTGATGCTTTCAGAATACAGACCAACATTGTTACACTAAAAATGTTCAAAAATAAGGCCTCTGAAATAAATATTTCCATTCTTTAAAAAAAGATATAATAAAAATGTACATCACATGGTCAATGTAGGTATAAAAATCACTAAGTTAAACCATTCTGGATGATGTATCTGAAGTAAAATGGCCTAGGTTTTGCTTCTGCCGACGTCCTCTATTGTTTTTGGGGCATTTTCTGTTAAAAAAAAAGAAAGAGAGAATGAAAAAGGCAGGCTGTTTTTATATACGTTGCATAAAATTAAACTTAGCAATAACTCATTGACTTTTCTGTACTTTGAAACAGCAAGGACCCTGTGAGCTGTGCTGGCTGGCGGGATGCTCCGGCTATTTGGCACTGGACTGTCACCTGGGATGTCCGTGGGACCCTGGACCAGTCAGCAGGGAGTTCTGCTTCAACTTGAGACCGAAACAGCAAGGTGCTACATCCTTCAGGCTTGATCTAGCAAAATGCGTGCTATGGTGAACAATTGCATTGGCTTTACTTTATACATACTTCATACTTACAATCCAGTGGATGGTAAGACTGGCTCAACCAGCCTTTAGGAGTGCTGGACCTCCAGGTGCCCTGCTCTTTGCAAGAGCTCCCAAGGCAGAGCCCACCCTGAGACTCTCCGTGGAGTGAAAGGCGATCCCCTTCTTGGGGATGGGCTCACAACTAAGAAAGGATTCACAAAAGCCAGCAATTCTCAGCGGGACGGGACTTATTCAGCCCGTCAGAGAGCAGGCAATGCACGATGGAGAAGTCCTGCTGGGAGACAGCAAGACAGCCTGGCTCTGAGAGACTGTGGGCTGGGCAATGGTGGTCGGAAGCCTGAAAGAGGAGGGCTACTGAAACACAGCCATCCACACCAGTAATTTGGCCAGCAGGGTGTTGGGTAAAAGAGGGGTGACATCGATTGCATGAGCCAAATAACTCTTCTGCACGTGCAGGAGGTGTCAGATATGTGCACTTACACCTGCTACGTTGAACCTTACAAGAGAGATAGGGAAGGAGGCCTATATTGTTCGTTCATAGGGGTGTCACTCTGCATCACTGAGCTTGGGGAGCCATGCACTAACGCAGTAGCAGAAAGTTTTATGGCCTGATGGAAGTGGGGCTGAAAAAGTGAAGAAAGTGAAGGACAAGTCGAGGAGGAAAAGGTGAAGTGTGGCATGGATGCCCAAGTGAAGGACTTAAATGCTTCATGCCCCTATAAGGTAACTAACTAAGTCGTCCTTAACCTAGCCCAGAGCCCTCAGTCCTCATTGAGTTCAAGTCCTTGATGAGTAAAGTGAACCCCTTGTCATCAAAAAGAATCCATGGCTCTCATCTCAGTTTTCATAAAGGACGAGAGCCTGAGACAACCCAGAAACTTGAACTCTGTCCTTGTGCATCTTCACATTTCATAAAAAAGGTTCCCATACACGTTCGTTTTCAGAAAGCATATATGGTGTGAGGGGTACTTCTCTCTCTGTGTAACACCATTTACAGTGGTACAGCAGGGAACAGCATCTTGTCAACCCCTCTGGTTTCACTGGGTGGGAGCGGGGGAATCATAGCTTCTGTGGGGGATCAGCAGTGCTCGAGTAACTCCAGTGAAGATCTAATACAGTAGCTGACCTTTTGGATGTGTTTCAAGGCTGATCTGTTCTGCCAGGTATTTGGTCTGGAGATGATTGAGAATGGTTACCGGTGGTTTGTAAATTTAAACAAATGTGTGTTTTGGGGCGGGGGGGGGAAAGGCAATAGGATGTTACATAATCCTTCTGCTTCTGTCAGGTAATTTTTATGTGGATATTTTAGGATATATGTTAGAGCACATAAAATTTTGGGGGTGAAATATTTAAATACAGAAAAAGTATATCCACACAATGTGTAATTTTTCACTGTTTTTCTGTTTACCTACCTTGTTATGCACATGACAATTGCAACTATAATGGCAATCTGTACAGCTCCAATTATTGCTGCAATAAGGACATGCGTAAGCTTTTGTCTACTTGGGACAACATAAAGAATACTAAAGTCTGTCTTTTCACAGTGCTGTCCAGTATATCCTGATTCACACCTGAAAAAGAAAAGGAATATTTGATGGAATCTGTAATTTAACAGCAGCCCAGTCATTTTGCAAATGAAATAAGGAGTCCGAGGTAACCCCAGCTGAGAAAGAGCTGGTGAGAAGGCGGAGGTGTGGTAACGCTTGGGTTGGGGAATGGTTTGGATTTCTGTGGCAAGAGAAGAGACATAGCAGGTATGTTCTGTGCTCCTGGGTGAGGTTACTAGTGGCCTTCTCTGAAAACGTGGTGAAGGCCCTGATTTGGCAAAAAAATATGTGGGGTTGTTATTAAATTGGACAATATTTAGGAAGAATAAAGCAACTATGTGAAACAAGCAGACAAGGCTAAATGAAACACGAAGAAGCATACTCGTGAAACACAAAGTGAGCGTGCTCACTCAGCTGCAATGTCAATATGGGAGATGAGTGATAAAGAGGAAGAGAAACCTTGAAAAATGGAGGAAAAGGAAGAACCCTTTTCAAGCTGCAGCCTACAGAAGTGGAATCTTGCAAAACCTATTAAATTAGACCAGCATCAAACCCCCTCCTGCCTTGTCACCAACTCAAAGTTTGATGGAGGTCGGGTTAGAAAACCCAATGGCCCACAGCTGTTCAAGTGAGAGCTCATGGAAGAATCCATAAAAATTGGCCAGGGCTGGAGACAGAAGAGAAGAGGCTGCTCTAAATGGTACCTCGCCTGAGCAGAGCAGGAGTCAGCGCAATGAGAAACTCAGCAGAGGCTGCTCCTGATCAGCGACACGTGTTCAGGGAATGCGAGATGTGTAAGTGGTGAAGGTGGCAGTGGAAACATGCTCTGGAGTAATTCATGTCGCAAGGCAAGAGAGGCTGAAGCACAACAAGGAAAGGCAAGAGCCACCCAAGACACCGAGCTGGAGTCTACAGAATCAAAGGCCACCACTTACTTCCCTGAGCAAGTTCCTTGTACAGCTGTCCTTTGATACTGACTGATGTGAAATGCATCATTAAGGGCACCTGAATCATGCAGCTGGCCTCCAGCTTTACAGTGGAAAGCTGGAGAAGAAATACTCTCATGCAGGCAGAGAAACAATCCTTTTTTAAACTGGATCAGATAAGCCTGAATGCAACACAGAATTGGTCTCATACATCCAAAAGCTTAATGCTAGGGTAGGAATTTATTCTGTCTGGAGGAATGAAGTAATTACTCCACAGACCTTCCTACAACTGCTAATGCAACTCCTAATCCCACTTTGCATGCAGGGATCACGTTTGGGGTTTACATGTTCGTAATCTTGTGACTCTACTTTCTTCAGCCATGAGCTGCTGTGTAAGGAGTTTTGATTCAGGCATGAAACAAGTTCCAGTAAGAGCAGAGTTGTTAAAGAAAAGCCCCCATGTACTGTAAGTAAGCTGGGTAACAGCTCGGAAGGGAATAATGAGAAACATGTACTAGTGTACAAGAAGGAAGAGGATGGGGAACATGTTGGTAACCATGCAAAAAGAAACAATAAGGAAGCGGACTCCTTGCTAGTGGAGTGAATTCTTTTTGTTACTTTTTCTTTTCATTAAAGAAGATAACAGTCAAAGTGTGATCAATGTCAGAATTGCTTTAAAGGATATGAGGCAAAACAAAGTGGAGGAGGCACAAGTAATTCAAAGATATTTCCTCAGAAACACTGAAGTGACAGAATATTATTTCTGAGAAATATTGAACAGAGATTCAGGAGTATTGAATTCCTGCAAAGAAGAAGTGCTTGTGTTAAGAACTATATTGGTGGTGGGATGAAGTACTAGACACTAGTTTAAGCTACCTTAAACCGGTAGAACGGATTTTAAAGAATTCTGCTGCATTAATATGCATCTACCTGGACTTGCGCAAAGCATTTGACACTGTCTTGCATTACATCCTTGTCTCTAAATTGGAGAGACATGGATTCGATAGATGGAATTTGACACTGTCCCTCATTACATCCTTGTCTCTAAATTGGAGAGACACGGATTCGATGGATGGACCACTCGGTGATAAGGAATTGACTGGATGGTCGCACGCAAAGACTTGCGGCCAACGGCTCAATGTCCAAGTGGAGAACGGTGACAAGTGGCGTTCCTCAGGGGTCGGTACTGGGACCGGCCCTGTTCAACATCTTTGTCGGCAACATGGACAGTGGGATTGAGTGCACCCTCAGCAAGTTTGCTGATGACACCAAGCTGTGTGGTGTGGTCGACACGCTGGAGGGAAGGGATGCCATCCAGAGGGACCTTGACAGGCTGGAGAGGTGGGCCTGTGCGAACCGCATGAAGTTCAACAAGGTCAAGTGCAAGGTCCTGCATGTGGGTCAGTGCAATCCCAAGCACGACTACAGGCTGGGCGAGGAATGGATTGAGAGCAGCCCCGAGGAGAAGGACTCGGGGGTGTTGGTGGATAAGCAGCTCAACATTGCCTGGCAGTGTGTGCTTGCAGCCCAGAAAGCCAACTGTATCCTGGGTTGCATCAAAAGAAGCGTGACCAGCAGGTTGAGGTGATTCTCCCCCTCTACTCCACTCTCGTGAGACCCCACCTGGAGTACTGTGTTCAGCTCCAGGGCCTCCAACATAAGAAGGACATGGACCTGTTGGAGTGAGTCCAGAGGAGGGCCATGAAGTTGATCAAAGGCTGGAGCACCTCTCCTATGAGGACAGGCTGAGAGAGTTGGGGTGGTTCAGCCTGGAGAAGAGAAGGCTCTGGGAAGATCTAATAGCAGCCTTCCAGTACCTAGACGGGGCCTACAGAAAAGCTGGAGAGGGGCTGTTTACAAGGGCATGGAGTGACAGAACAAGGGGTAAGGTGAAGGAGGGTAGATTTAGATGAGATATAAGGAAGAAATTCTTCCCTGTGAGGGTGGTGAGGCACTGGAAGAGGTTGCCCAGAGAAGCTGTGACTGCCCCCTCCCTGGAAGTGTTCCAGGCCAGGTTGGATGGGGCTTTGGGCAACCTGGTCTAGTGGAAGGTGTCCCTGCCTGCAGCAGGGGGGTTGGAACTAGATGGTCTTTAAGGTCCCTTCCAACCCAAACCATTCTATGATTCTATGATTCTATGAAATGAAGACCAAATTAAACAATGTATATGCTAAATGTATATGAGAATGCAAAGCATTTGAGAATAACAATCTGCCCTTAGCATTCATCACTATATTTTCCTTGCCAGAGAAGAATAATTTTTTTCTGTGGTAGAAGTATATGATTACTACAGCGGATTGCTGTCTGATATAAATAATGTGTTTCCTTAATAACTCTGCTCCAGTAGAAAACACACATAAAGTACGAGACCATCAGTATGTAAACAGCCAAGCAAAATCCCAAGGAGATCTGATACTTAGGGTTAAGAACTGACAGTCAGAAATTATTGACTGGAACCACATGAGGTTTGTTGTGCTAGGTCCGATGCTGAGATATTGTTCAGGCTCTTTAAATAAATAATTGAAGGTAGTAATAGTAAATGTAATTATAAAATAGAATTTAAAGGGACAGTACATTAATTAAATTCATCAAAACATTGCCTATCATTAATTATTAGAGTAATAATAAATATTGAAATGATTGAATAGTAATTGAATTGTAAATTAATAAATGACTATATGATTAGCAGAAAAAAATTCTGAGAAACAAAACAAATCCATTCATTCAGCCAGGAATGTTTTCCTTGAAATACCTCTACTATTAATATTTTGAGGACAAATTCATCAGAAATTGTGTTAAACACAGCTCTAGACAAAAAGTGCTGCCTAATGCCCATCAAGATGACACTGGGGATGCACCCAGTTTCCCAAGAGAGGCAAAGCCATGTTGAGCTCTCTTGGTTCTGGCCAAAGAAGAGAGAAAAAACAAAGAAGTCGTATTGGAAAGGTGAAAATAAACAAGAAAGCATCTTGGATGGGAAGAGGAATAACATAAGCTTTCAAATGCTTAAGTTGACAGCCATACTGGCTCTGTCTTTTCAGCTTACTGCACTCTGGTCAGTCTGGAAACCTTAAATCTTGCAGTGGAAAGTGCTGTAAATATCCTTGATCGATAAAGATCAAGGGAGAAAATGTGCTAGTACCTAATGGATTTACAGCTGAAGTTTCCAAAGCAAAGCAAAGAATTATAGCATCTTCAACCACATTAATCTGAAAGTACAAGCCTGCAAGATAAAAGTTCAGGAGCGAAACCTACAAATAAGTAAAGCACTCCATGTTACTAAAGGTGGCCTTTTTCTATAAACAACTTTTTAAATTAAATTTCTTTTTTAAAGAAAAAAAAAAGAGGCAGAATTTCATTGGTGAAATGTAAAGAAAAACTACCTGTGAGCTAAGGAAATAAAATGGAACATTCAGATTTCCTGGGAAACACTGAGTGGCTTAATACTGAGTGTACCGATCTGATAGATTATACTGTAGACAAAAAATGTGGGCTGAAGAACATTTTGCAATTTTATACTCTCTAGATGAAGCCTATTATTGTGAAAAAGGGCAATAAATGATAAAAATAAGATATTGATACTCTAGAGAGAGTTTATGACAAGAGCAATAAAATGTATAGATAGCATAAGAACAGACTGAGAGGTCAATGGGGAAAGAGCAGTCATTCAGAGAAGCCATGCAAGGCAAAGGCAATTTTTTTCATGTTTGTTTTTTTTTTCCCTCTAGATAGGATTTAGCAGCTGAAAATAAGCAGACAACACCGAGTCCACAGTCTTCAGAGGGATCCAGCTTCTGAAGTACCTGACTGACCCAGTCCCTCCTGCGAGCACTATCTCCCACGCGACTGGAGCAGTTGGGTGCTGCCCTCAGCAAAGGGATACGGCTCCTGTGCCGCCGCTTAGGTAACTGCAAACTGACACGGGCTCTAATTATGTCTAGAGAGCATTTTGATTAAGTTTTACAGCAATTTCAAGCACATTTTGGAGGCATGCAGGACTTACCGGCAGGAAGCCTTCTGAGTGGAATAAATGAATTCACATTTCCCATGTATACAGTATCCATTGAAGCTTTCTGAACAAGGTATGTGGTTTCCAATGTAAATGTCTTCTCTTTGATCACTGGCATCTTAAAAAGAAATATACATAAACAATTATACATGGCTGTATGATATTTCTAAAAAAGCTCAACCAAGAATAGCATACTCTTAAAAACTTGCAGTGAATAAAGGAATACAGTATAATAAAGCAAACGCTTAAGGGTGAAGTTTCAGAGACACCTGCAGAGATTTGCCAGGATGTATTGCACTGAAAAAATCCTCAGAAACATCTAAATATGCTTCTTACGTCAGGTTTCTCGAAAGGAGAAAAGTTTTAATGACAGAAACAAGCCAATGCAGGAAGATCAGCAGAAGTTTTGTCAGTGGCGTTGGGGCAGAGAGCTAATTAATACATAGATGCAGAGGGCTCTCTCCCATGACTAAACAGAGGAAAAAAACCTGAAGGGTTATGAAGAAGCTAAACCACATTTTATGACTCTTGGGTAGAAAACAACTCGATAAAGGCCTGATCTGACTGGTACCACCAGTTTTACAGCTGAAATCAAACACTCTACAACAGCAGTTTTCCTCAGATAAACCCTTCCATGGAAAGGGAATGTCAAAATACTGACATAAGCTTAAAATACCCATTCCCTTGGGAAGTGTACTGGGCCTGGCTGGGATGGAGTTGACTTTCTTCACAGCAGCCTGTATGGTGCTGCACTTTAGATTTCTGGCTGAAACAGTGCTGACCACGCACCAGTGTTTTGGCTGTTGCCGAAGGGCGCTTGCACAGCATCAAGGCTTTCTCTGCTTCTCACTCTGCTTGCCCCGCAGTGAGGAGGCCGGTGGTGGGCAAGAGCCTGGGAGAAGGCACAGCCAGGGCAGCTGACCCCAACTGACCAAAGGGGTATTCCCTACCACGTGACATCACAGTCAGCAATAAAAAATGGGGGTTTGGTCTTTCAAAGGTGGCCATTGCTCAGAGTCCAGCTGGGCATCAGTCTGCTGGTGGGATGTTGTGAGTGATGGCTTTTGCATTGCTTGTGGTTTTTCTCTTATTTTTTCCCTTCACTTCTTAAACTGCCTTTATCTTGACCAATGAGTTTTTCTTGTATTTGCTCTTCTGATTCTCTGCTCCATCCTCCTGCAGGAAAGTGGGGGTCAGCAAGTGCCTGGTGGACGCTTAGTTGCTGGCTGGGTCAGCCCAACACAGGACGGCAATCCCTTTTGCCCCAACATCTTTCATGCTTCTGTCTTGTTACTAAAACTGTCTAAGGCTGCATATATTTTCAACCATTCTTTCCCAAAATTTTTCTGTAAAAATGTCCTAAACACAGAAGTTGGTATTTCATAATGAACTTCTCTAAAGAGCAGGGATCTAAAGATGTGAGTGTAATCGTGGAATTATGTTCATTTCCATGGCAATAGAATATAGCGTCACAAATACAAGATTATAATGAACTGCAGGTGCAAAGCAAGAAGGGACTGTGAAGACAAAAATCTCTTATACAATTGCAGATATTTGAAATAACACCAGCAAGAAAGAGAATGTATTTATACAAGGAAAAAGAAAAAAAGGTATGCTCCTGTTTTAGGTTTTCACTGAACATTTTCTGGAACGTTTTCTAATTGGTTCCAGGAGAAAAAAATCTATTAGAGGCTTGAGATATAAGGAAGTTTGATGGTTCAGGCAATGCTTGAAAGATTTAGATGACTTGATATGAGGGAAAAACATTGCCTACTGACAATATGTCTTATCACTGCCCTGTTGGAAGAGACACGTGGTATGTCTAAGAGGAGAAAAGTGGGGATGGCTCATCCCAAAGCTGTTGCATCCTCCAAGATGTTAATTACTGTTGTATCAAATCCCAATCAAAGGCTACATACAATTATATTAGTCTGTTCAGATAGCTGCGCAATGTCTGTTTTCAGTGTACATACTAATACAGGATGTGAAAGATGTGCCCGCTGAAAAGCGAACAGGTAGCCACGGCCACCCAAGTCAGAGGCAAAACTTGTATTAAGTGAAGAGATGTTGTTAAATGCAGGAGGTGATTCCTAGTGTAAACCAGACCCTTACCCATCTGTCAATGGGAACCCATTTTTAATCTGAGAGGTCTGCTAGACTGCTTCAGAGCTTCAAAGTGAAAGATGTAACTGGTGTAGGAGCCTTGAAAGAGCGATTGGATGTAAGAGTTCAGATACTTCACCAGAAGGAAGAGGCACGCACAAAAACTGAAACCCTGATGCCCCCCTTGGCATGACAAAACCAGCAAGCCAGCTGAATCATGGAAGAGAGACCTTTCTGATGTGACTTTAGGTAGACACTTGCACTGCCAGAGAAGGAGACTCTCACGGCTGTGGTTCTACAGACTAGAAGGCATTACGCATTCAGAAAACAGGGCGTAACAAGAGTAACACATGGGAATTTAAAGCAAAGGCAAACAGATAGAAGTCAGGACTGTTCTCTTACCCTGGAATAAAAAGTCATTCAAAGTAGTTCAGTTCAGGCTCTCATTATCTAAGAAGACCTGGCTACTGCACAAAAAAATTTCAAAACAATTTTTTTGCACAAGGCATACTCCCTCCATGGACATCATTTCCTGAACTTGAGACTGCACAAGCTATAGACATTAATAATAATAATTATATGCAATGTTTTTTCCACTAACTAGATTTCAAGGGCAATTTATATGCAATGGATAAAAGGCTGTAACTTCTTCTGAATAGGAACCAAAAGTGGTATTTCATTACATCACATAATAAGACATACATTCCATTTGGTGCCTTTTATGCCTTCATAATGTAAGTAAAAATTGACACTAAATCATTCCTACTGGTACATTATATGGAGTGAAAATAAGAGAATTTGTGAAAAAAGAAAAATACACAGAGCTTTTTGGCACTGAACGCCTTTTCAAGAAGAACTCAAGGAATGTCAAAAGCCGTGGTGGGATGGCTTTACTCCGGGAGGCCATGGGAGTGCAAAACAAGTGTAATGACAGAAAAAACTTAAGACCAGAGTTAACGGAGAAGACAGCAGTGCTATTACTTGTGAGAGAAGAGGAGGAAAGGTTGAGACCTATGCAGATCTGCTCTTTGCCAATAACTTGAGAAAGACAGAAGGTGTTTTGTCCTGGACAGAAACAATTTGAGCAAGAGCCATGAAATGCAGATGCACATTTGTTCTGATAATGCACCTAACACATACGAGCTACTAACACATGAAACTGAGCAGAAAGTGAAACTCTGCCTTATTTCATTTATACTAAGGCTTGTAGAGGTAATGTTCATATAGGTAAAACATTTTCAACCAATGTGATTCAGCACATATAGTTTACCGAAAACATTTTAAACTAACCTAACAAATACAGAATTTTATTTATTTTTTTTTTCCCCAGAAATTATCAGAAAAGATGGGGTCATGGCTGGGCTTGTGTCATTTTATCAGGAATGTCACAGCTTGGTGTCTTACAGGAAAGGCATTTTCTCGGCACTTGGGGGGAATCTAATCCTGTGACCGCTGCACGGGGTGGCGAGCAGCTGGGCATCTTAGAGGAGCAGAGCAGGCAAAACTCACAAATCACACGCATCTTCTTGCCAGCCTTGCAATGTCAGTGCTGTAAGAAAGAAGCTGTTCACAGATCTATCTCGATTACAGAAATCAAAGCTGTAAGGCAGACGAGAAGGGACCTGCAGGCTCTATTTCCTCATCTGGTGAAACCATAACCAAACAGCACAAAGTCAGCACAGTACCTTTCACCTCTGGCCGATACTGCATGCCATCGTCTTTCTTTCCAACAGCATTTGTGTCATCTGTTTCTAGATGATAAATACATGCATAGATAGCCATTAGGAAAGGCTTATTTCTAGACAACTATATGTACGTCACTGAGAAACATCCAAAGAAGTACTTTAATTCCAGTAAATCCGGACACATTCCCACATTGTTTCTCCCATACAACCAGGCTGGTAGCGCACCTGGTCAGTAACCCCAGCGTCCAGACCAACACATGGCACACCTCAAGCTGCAGGGTTTGAACTAAAAATTTTTATGTGGTATGGGCCTAGGTTATTCTGGTGACAGTCTGTTTCAGTTTTGGTACTGTCCAAGTTACGGATCTGGATGGAACTGGCAAAAAGATGACGGAAAGCCGTTATTCCCATGAGCAGGTACCAACTGCAAGACCCCAAAACTGAAGATTCATGTACATGACTAACTACAAGGCAGTAGACAGAGGGTTTCAGTGGACCATTCCAACAGTGGAAAAGGAAATGGATAAATATTTGTGCAATGGGCCCCAGCTGGACTGAACTTGGAAGTACATTGCACAGCCCACAGGAGCAAGAGGGAACGTTCCCCACGCACCGGTATTCCTTTTGCTCTCCTACTTCTTACCACCCCCTCACGTAACACCCATTGAACTATTGCTTAGATTGTCCTAAGAGTTTTTGCTGTCTTACCAGGTAACAGAAGCCAAAGGAAGGTAATGTAAACACAGCACGTACGTATGTGGTGTAAAAATACTTCTGTGTGGGGAAGTCTAAAATACAGGCGAGGAGTTCACTGATAACTGGATCAGTGACTTCTGATCAAAAATGGAAAAGGGAAAGCTGTACCAAGCCCACTTATATCAGACTTTACATTTACCAAACCCACAAAATTAAGCCTACCTGAGCAGTGTCCAAGATGCCTGATGTCGATCTGCTCTTGCCTCAGACATGATGCTTCTCTAACAAAGCAGGGATTGTTATAGGAACTTCCATCAGAAGCACATACAGGATTAAAACTGTATCCACTGCAGTCTATGTTACATACACACCTGTTAATTGAAACATACAGCAAACCAAAATTGACATATAGCAAATAAAAATTAAGTCATGTTGAGTCCTGAGTAAACACTAGCTCATATACTAATACCAGGAGAGAAGACCGTGTTGCATGAGGATGCTGAAGAATTCATTGACATCTCAGGCTTCCGAGCAGAATGGACAAAATTATGAATAGGTGCTTCAGTGTGCTTTTTAATAATGTATTCATGTTTCGTGTTGTTTTACTATGAAATCAATCTCATTGATTAACACTTGAAAATTGATAACACGTTGCTAGGAAGATTTACTACATTAATATAACAATTTATGGTGTCCGTTCTCAAGTGTGAACAAAACCAGATGAATATTTGACTTTTTTGGAGGTGGCAGGATCCCTGAGAGGGAAATAAAAAGAAAAGGAGTCCCATTTCTGTTAAGCAGTAAAAGAAGTTTTTCTATTTTGGAGGCTGTACAGAATCAATATGCTTGGTTAACTGTGTCATTTCAGCAAGACATTCATCCATATCTTTGAAAGTTAACAGTGAGTTTATTATGCTGTATTTAAAACAGGATTATGCAATCGGATTTGTTTCATATTGCATCCAATCAACACTTTGGTTGTTTTAGTTAGGCACAGCATTTTTCCATAGAATTTGCAACTAGGGATTGTAAAACAAAAGTGGGAAAAATGGAGACCTAGCCTGCAGCTGGTTCCTAGCCACCCGAATGTAGGATAGCCGAAGACTTAGATAGGGCTATGACTGACCCGTTTTCGGTTAGATAGTTTTGTTTGCCCCAACAAAAAGTCCTGAAATTTTACATGAATGGTACAGGAAAACTTTCCAGCTTTCCAAGCCCCACCCTGTTTATTTTAACCATTATTGTACTTTTTAACTGAACCTCTATTTCTGAATGGAAGTTTCTATGCATGGTTCAGATTGCTCTGTGAGCTCCGCTCCGTCTCTGGACTGGGAAAAGTAAGGAGCATGGCTGCAGGATGGAGGACGTGGTGGGCGCCTGGTCCAGCTCTCCATTGAGCTCCTCCTGACGCCGTGAGAGCAGGAAGAGCCGCTCTGCATCTTCTGAGGAGGTGGCAGTGGGCATGTGGTCCTCTCCTTGCCACAAAGCTCTACACAGGGGGCACGTGGTCAGACTGCCAGGAGCTGCTGCTAGCTTTATCTTAATTCACCCTTGTAAGACACAGGGTGGGGGAAAAAAAAAACCCAAGCTACCAACCTGCCAGGTTTTTTATGTTCTTGCCAGCTGTTCCAGGTACAAATAAATGATTAAATAGATGCATGTGTGCCTCAAGTCAGTAACAAATCTTGCAGCAGAACCTAATTCCATGCTGCACAAACACAGATGGCCAGTGTACCTTTATCTCTCTCTCTCTCTCTTTTACTGATAGTGAAAAACTGCCCCAGTAATGAGTCTCTACACATCTCAGGGACCTACCTCAAAGTACTCATCAAGTCAAATATCAACATGATGAACATACTACAATTTTTCTTACGAGTAATGGTAATGGTTGTAAACCTTAGACCCAGGAAAGGAAGTACTATTTTGTTTACATGCTCCCACATGATTTTAAGCCTAATAAGCCTAATGAGGGGTTTATTAGGATTTATTGTATGCAAATAAAAGACTCACGGCTCAGCAGTTGTGCACATTTATTGACACAAATGAGCGGAGAGTTAGTTCTCATTTGTATGACACTGGCTATGTGCTCACAGATACCTTCGCTCAGCCTTACCTCTCAGGAATCACCAATACCTGTGTCTGCCCATCCTTGTCATGTTTGAGCACATTCATATATATATAGCTCCAGACAAATTCCTTCTGTATTTCTATGCCCAAACAGCTCTAGTTGTGTCTGTCGACACCATACAAGGTCCGTAGCATCATAATTACTACTGGCTTTTGTCATTCCTGGTGAAAAATAAGGTGACTTTTGAAAATAATTTTTTATTTCTCATGATGACATTACAGGCTAGAGTTGAAACTGCATGGAAACTGCTTTCATTTTTGTGCTTCACTGTGTTTAGATTTAACATCTAATGTTAAATGTTTACTTTCTTAGCAACATTGCCAAATGCTTGTTTTGGGGGTAGTTGCGAATTCCTGATCCTGTTTTTCTGATAAACACTCTCAGTCTTAGCTCTAACCATCTCTTCAATGTACAAAAATTTCTTTTTATCGTTTAAAATTTACACCTAAAAGTAGGAAAATTTAAAAAAACCAACCAAAACCCACAACAAACCTACAAGAAGAGCTCTTGTGACACATCCATAAGGGCTGGGGCAGCATGAAGCAGCCGGAGCCCGCTGGCCAGCTGCGAGGGGCGTGCAGCTGCTTGGTGTGGTCAGAGCGGGGCAGAGCTGCTCACTGCCAGGCGCGGGAGGGAGTGAAATGCCCACCCGCTGCCAGTCCCGTTACTGGGATTTGCTGGAGGCTCTAAGTGCACCAAATCCCCGACGGGCCCCCGCTGGCACAACAGACCCCGACCAGCTGGCAGACGTACGTGCTTTCCGCCTGTGCGCGTAAGGGATGCAGGCACGCCAAATCTCCAGCGAGATCCTCGCTGGCCAGACAGACCCGGCCAGCCGGTGGGACGCGTGCCTGCTCTCTGATCCACGGGATCTGCCCCTGCTTCCAGGATCAGTGCCATCCTCCTTCCAGGCCCCTTTCTTCCACCCCAGGGCACTGCCTCTCAGGACACCTCTTCTCTCCAGAGCCCAGTCCCTCTGTTTCCCAGGCCACGCAGCCTATCTGCAGAAGCGCACTGCACGACTGGCTTCCCGGCTGCTGACTCCATCTCATGGCTCTTTATTAACTGGAGGATTCACGACGTGACACTTGTTTAGCCCAGGCATTACCCAAAACTTACCCAGGAGGAGAAAGAGTAGACCCTAGCTGTGAAATTCCGAATACCCCGCCTTTTAAGCACTTATTCTCACTTCTGCCTTAGCTCCCGGCGGTGCCGCACCCGCATACAGCGGTCCGTGAGAGCGGTGCCACGCGCAGCTCCCTGAGCTGGGCCGTGCAGCTACGGACGCCTTCCAGCACGACTTGGCCTGAATGACTGATGAACAGCATCCCTGGTGGCCACCGGCCCGCTACGGGCACTAGCCTGAAAACTTAGCTTCAGGGGCAAAAGGATGCAAAGGTTTTGATCATATTTCTACATTTTGTTCTCTGGAAGCTCGTAATGCGCTGGGGAATTAGGGCACGGCCCTGAGCATGAGAGGCACGCTTCCCATCTTAGCCTCTTCCATGTCTTAGCCTCTTACCTTCTTACCCATGACTACACAATTTCACCTGAAATTTTTAAAAAATAAAATACAATTCCTTGTGAGCATGTACCCAGCATGAAAATTTTAAGCTATGCAATTGGGGGGGTAGGGAAAAAATATGCACCAGAAGATGATTTCATAAAACAGAAAGCATTGTAAAGCCTGTATCAGCAAGGTTTGGGTTAGGATTTTAATCCATATAAAAAAGGTATTTTGAATATCATTGTCCATCCTACTTCTACTCACTGTAAAGTTGTATTAAAACACTATGCTGCATTAGTTGAGACAACATCACAGCTTTGACTCTAGCCTTAAATATTTTGAACGCTGATTTTTAGGTAACATTTTGGTTCTATTCCTCATAGAAAAGAACAGAAGCAAGATGCATTTTCATCTCTAATTACCAGTAGAAATAAAAATGAGGTGTGCTATAAGCATGTGCTTTCTGGTGTGACCAGGTAGGCACGCACTGATATTGCAATGTACCAAAATGGCTGGTTTGCAATAAAAAAAAAGAAAAAAGAATAGAATAGTACCTATCACACAACAATATTTGTAATAATAGGAAACTACTCAGATTTAGAAATGTAATTTCTTATGGGAGAAATTAACTATCTAGAACCTCTTAAACACTGCTATTTTGACCCCTGAGTATATTTTCACAAATGCTAAAGGCTGTTCTGAGTTTTGATGGGTGACACAATCCAAGGTGACGCTAGCAGATGATGATGCCAGTCATAAATAACGGCAAAACAAAAATCTTGTATTTAAGCTTCTAGTGTGGAAAACCTGAGGTACAACCCCAGGTCTGAGTTGCTTCCGTGCTGCAAGCAGACCAGGAAGGTGAAGATGGGGCAACCACAGCTGAGGTGAGCAGCCAGCCTGACTCCCGGGGTCACACGTGAGAAGTTTCCTGGGTAGGCAGCGCAGAAACTTGAGCTCTGTCTCTCAGACAAGTGACAGGTATATTTATTCCTTGGGAGTGATCCCACAAGGGAATCAGGAAGGATTTTGGGAAAGAAAACCCGGAATCATGCAAATTTTCACAAAGAGAAAAGTAATTCTTTTGAAAGCTTGCAAATGAAAAATGTCAGAGTACTTTTAAACATCATAGTACCTTTCTCTGAGATCTCAATTATTTACTCCTGCTATTTGGAGTAACTTCCAGGAACAGTTGCCTGAAGTCCCGCAGTGGTGCAAGCGTAAATTGTTGTGTGAAGCTGATCTTGAGCTGCTAGAAGTGAGAATAAGCACAGCAAAGTCTGCATCAAAACCCCCCCAAAACCCTACAATAAAAGGCTTCTTTGTTCCTCCAGTTGCTTTTTCAAAGTACCAGTCTTGCCTCAGGCTTGCCAAAGCCGTGCCACGTTGGGTAAATCAATCATCGCATCCCAATACAAGTCAAGACAATGGTAAAATCTTAGACCTATACAGATACTGGGTGTTTTGCCACTGTCACTTGAAGCTGAATGAGGACTCCACAGCTTGAGCCCCACCGCTCTGCCGTTGGCTTTTGTGTGTGTTTGACAATATGATCCTTCTTGGTGCCCCAAGAAAAATAAAGAAAAAAGAGCAACTGGAGCCTTCAGCCTGATGTGTGGCTGATCAGTGCAACCTTCAGAAGGAAAGAGTTAGTCACCTAACAGAAACGTGTACTAAGGATGTCTTGAAAGTGCTTGATGCTTCATATGAGAAAGAAGTGAATGAGGGCTTCAAGTTTTAGCTGTAACAGCTTGTTGTAAAAGTCACACTGGATAAAAGGAGTCGGAGTACTACAAGAGTTTTTCTTCATAATAGCCTTCCTGCTGGTTTTAACCAAAAGGATTGAAACAGGTAGTTAATTCTCCAAGTTCATGTCTTGCTGGAGAGGGCTGCTGCTCAGTGTCCTCAACAGATCTTTTTTCTCGCCTGGAAAGTTAACAGGATGTATTCAGATGTTTTCTAATATACTAGGGTATACAGAAAAAAACTTAATTTTGTCACCCGTCATCAGAGAGTTGACATCCTAAGAAGAAAGGCACCAGCTTCCTGTGATTACGTGCTTTTACAAGTTGAATGTGTATCGTTCATTAACACCATTAGTTAGAAAAGCATTTGAATTTCAGGAAAATACAAAGTGCTATAATTAAACCATGCAAAAATTTTAGGTGGCTTTAATAAATAAGACATGAGAATGTATAACTCCTTTATTAGGGGCTACTAGGGGTAACAAAGAAAACATGTTCAGTAAAATGATGTGACACGTTTGAAACATAGTCGGGCTGTAAAAGCACTTGCTGCTATCAGTAAATTAATTAGATCCCCAGAGATCAGAACACATTTCAAGGCTCCTTTTTGTTTTCAGGCTTCAAGGTGTATGTGGTTTGTTGGAAGTTTGTGTGCTTAAGAACCACGGTAGATTCAAAGAAAGGAGGGAAAAAAAAAAAAAAAGGAAAGGAAAAGCATGACAGATTTGAGGAGTGGGCTTGGCTATGGAGAGAAGCTGCTGTTTCCAACCAACAGATCAAGCTACTGCATTTATGCCCATCTGGGATTTGTTCACAAATTTATTTTTTCTGGCCTGGCCTCACAGAAAGCGCTGCTTGCTGCCCCCTCCCCGTAGCCGACAGCCACAGTGAGCTTTCTCAGCTACTCACCTATTTATTAGCACATCTCCTTACAAATGTAAAATGGAAACACTAGAATAAAACGAAGTGTGTGAAATACACACAGATGGGTAAGTGTATGCTTGATGGAATGAATTTAGGTGAATTGAAATAGCAGGGGTGTTGCAATTGCAGTTAAGAAGATAACCATGTCAAATGAAGGATT